AAAATAACTTGTCAAAAAGGACATGGAAAAACAAAATTCTCGAGGAACTTTTTGAATGTGATGACTCTGGAGAGATCCAGCTGAAGTCACTGGCATGTAGTGGGCTGAACAGGATACCATCGATCGCAGAAGAAAACGGAGATACAGGTTCCTTATCGACAGATTTCATCAATTTTCCCTTTACAGTTGTCGAAACAGGAAGGTTTACAGTGGAACTAGAGCAGAGAAAACATATCATCCATCCTATAGCCCCATATCCTATCTTAGTGCATTTTTAGCCCTGGATGAAAACGTCCTCGTGCGCATTATAGAAATGGTGAAAAAAGGCAAAATATGACACCTAACAGCGGAGTCCTGGACCTGGATCCTTCTATCAGCTCAGAAGAATCTTCCTATGTGTTACCATGCGCTTTTATGGCAGAGCAAAATTGACAGTTATGCGTAATAAGGACGTCAATACGCCTTTTTAGGGGGAAATTAATTGATTTTATAACATTTTCACTGGGTTCGCTGATTCCCGAAGGACACTTAACGCTGACAAGTCAATAGCGTAGGGGAACAAAAACGTGAAAAGTAACTCACGAAGTCAATCAAGTTTCCAACAACCGTGTCTTTTTTCTTCGTCAGCAAATGTTCCAAGGATACGCCGAAAACCCTTAACACCAAAATTTGAGACTTCAAGGAGGAATACAGAGTTACACAACGTCGTACCTGGGATAATACTGCGCCATGACAGGAATAAAGTAATCTCTACCGTGTTCGAGATTCATGACAAGAATATCTTGCAACTTTGTTCCAGTCAGCTCCCATGCAATTTCCTTGTCGATCACGACGGTCAAGGAGATCTACAATATCCGATTTTTTGGGCTAGCATCATAATGGTCGCCAGCCAGCGGTCACAATCTGTGACATCGAAAAAAAAGAACCGACGAGATTACAAAAAATAGGTAGGTAACGATCTATAGAATGGGGAGGGGGTAGAGGATAGAAGACCACGAACTCGACTTTAATAAGAAGAGGAGGGAAAGTCGGCTGAGTCGCCACGCATCTGCACCTTTAGCGACTTTCTCCCATCCCATACAAGGCACAGACTGGGAAAAATACCACAGGAAAACCAAAAAAGATCAGAAAATAAGAGCTCGGCTCACGGTAGCGGATAACGAATGGATCAGCTGTGTGCCACGTCACAATAGTTGTTGAGGACAAGTT